GTTTCTTTCCTTTTCACTCTCTCTTTTCTGTCATCCCCTATCAAAGTATTTCATTTCTCTCATTAGTCCTTTTTCAGTGTGAACACTTATTCTCAGCCCGCCCTACTTTAAAATGTACTTCACTATATTCTGACTGTTTTATGAAGCAGAGATTTAAGAGAAGCTATGTCAAGATTGACCTTAAAGGGAGTAAAGGAGGGAAAGGGTTAGGATAAAAAGGCAGACAAAGAAGTTACATATTTGGAAACACCCAAGGTTTTTTTTCTCATTCTCTATATCGATAGATGTGAAACCAAATATACACATTTTAGGAAAATGCAAATGTGCCCTCATACTGGACAAAGTACACTGATAATATTGTCTACAATGCGTGTTAATCTGGTAATTTGCCTAAACAAATTTGGCAGAAATACCAAGTTAGGAAGTCACATTTTTGGGCTGTGTGCTCAAATGTGCACTCAGTCAGTAGGGGCTTGGACTGTGAGCCGCAGGGTCGCCGGCTCAAGTCCCCGACCAGACCTAAATATGGGGTGTTTCTCAATGTCGAGCTTGCTTGCACATGTCTTCCGAGTCACTTGCTTCAGAAGCGAGGCAAGAATACTTTCTGGCATTCGGAAAACGAAGAGTGGAAGTGTGCAGGTGTGCGTCACATGAGAGGCCCCGCCTTACATTTTCTGCCACCGATTTGGGGAAATTGGTCCATGCGCAAAGCATTTTAAGACCTACACATGTGCAGCCTCGAAATTTCTCGCTACGAAGTACGCCGGGCTCGGTATAATTCCAAGTATGCTGGGCATTGGAACAGTACTTCGGCGGCACTCGATGCCGTAGTATGCTTGAAATAGTGGCTCTGGAGCAGCTTTACTCGACATTGAGAAACACCCTGTGTGTGTGGACTGCTACTTGGAGAGGTCCCAGTCCACCTCCTGGGCCCTGCCGTATGGTAGACTAGACTAGTGTTTGAATACAACTAGATTAAGAGACTGAGCATTAACATTATTAAAGGTCACCTATTATGCAAAATCCTCTTCTTCATGTCTCTTCTACATCAACATGTATCCCCTCTTCTTCATGTCTCTTCGACATCAACATGTGTCCCCTCTTCTTCATGTCTCTTCTACATCAACATGTGTCCCCTCTTCTTCATGTCTCTTCTACATCAACATGTATCCCCTCTTCTTCATGTCTTTTCTACATCAACATGTGTCCCCTCTTCTTCATGTCTCTTCTACATCAACATGTGTCACCTCTTCTCCATGTCTCTTCTACATCAACATGTGTCCCCTCTTCTTCATGTCTCTTCTACATCAACATGTGTCCCCTCTTCTTCATGTCTCTTCTACATCAACATGTGTCCCCTCTTCTTCATGTCTCTTCTACATCAACATGTGTCCCCTCTTCTTCATGTCTCTTCTACATCAACATGTGTCCCCTCTTCTTCATGTCTCTTCTCAACATGTGTCCCCTCTTCTTCATGTCTCTTCTACATCAACATGTGTCCCCTCTTCTTCATGTCTCTTCTACATCAACATGTGTCCCCTCTTCTTCATGTCTCTTCTACATCAACATGTGTCCCCTCTTCTTCATGTCTCTTCTACATCAACATGTGTCCCCTCTTCTTCATGTCTCTTCTCAACATGTGTCCCCTCTTCTTCATGTCTCTTCTACATCAACATGTGTCCCCTCTTCTTCATGTCTCTTCTACATCAACATGTGTCCTCTCTTCTTCATGTCTCTTCTACATCAACATGTGTCCCCTCTTCTTCATGTCTCTTCTCAACATGTGTCCCCTCTTCTTCATGTCTCTTCTACATCAACATGTGTCCCCTCTTCTTCATGTCTCTTCTACATCAACATGTGTCCCCTCTTCTTCATGTCTCTTCTACATCAACATGTGTCCCCTCTTCTTCATGTCTCTTCTCAACATGTGTCCCCTCTTCTTCATGTCTCTTCTACATCAACATGTGTCCCCTCTTCTTCATGTCTCTTCTTCATCAACATGTGTCCCCTCTTCTTCATGTCTCTTCTTCATCAACATGTGTCCCCTCTTCTTCATGTCTCTTCTACATCAACATGTGTCCCCTCTTCTTCATGTCTCTTCTACATCAACATGTGTCCCCTCTTCTTCATGTCTCTTCTACATCAACATGTGTCCCCTCTTCTTCATGTCTCTTCTACATCAACATGTGTCCCCTCTTCTTCACGTCTCTTCTACATCAACATGTGTCCCCTCTTCTTCATGTCTCTTCTACATCAACATGTGTCCCCTCTTCTTCATGTCTCTTCTACATCAACATGTGTCCCCTCTTCTTCATGTCTCTTCTACATCAACATGTGTCCCCTCTTCTTCATGTCTCTTCTACATAACATGTGTCCCCTCTTCTTCATGTCTCTTCTACATCAACATGTGTCCCCTCTTCTTCACGTCTCTTCTACATCAACATGTGTCCCCTCTTCCTTATGTCTCTTCTACATCAACATGTGTCCCCTCTTCTTCATGTCTCTTCTACATCAACATGTGTCCCCTCTTCTTCATGTCTCTTCTACATCAACATGTGTCCCCTCTTCTTCATGTCTCTTCTTCATCAACATGTGTCCCCTCTGTGGAAAGAGACTCTGAAAGTTTCAGGAACAAAGATTCTCTCTCTTTTTGTCCTGATCCATTTATATAAAAACCTGTCTGAAAATGAGCTGATCAGATTTTGGCCACTTTGTGATGTCATAACGATGTTTTGGCTTGTGTAACCATCAGCCAATCACCAACCAAGGTAACCCCCCCCCCCCCCCCACCTTATCACCTGAATCTCCTCCTAGAGCACCATTGTGTTCTTTGTAACCAAATCTCCCTCAGAGGGGCGTGGGGAGGGGCTCCTTATTTTCATCTAAAGTAACAGACAGAGAATCAGCACTTTGGAAACAGGGCTGAAACAGAGGGGATTATGGGATGCTGCAATGATCTGTTTGGTGTTTCAGCCAATCAGAGACAGGCTCTGTATATATCTGAGACCTGTGATATATTGATGAAGAACAGGATAATAGGGGACCTTTAATAAAATCAGAGGAACATTTCCCTAAACACACACCTTTGTAATAAGCCACCTAGCAGCTCTTACTGATCTGAAACACAGAGCTATGTGCAGAAAGATCACGATGATGATGATGATGATGTACTCAGACTTTTTTTGAGTTCTGGCTTTTCTGGTTTGGGCAGGTTGCAACAAAAGCTTTGCAGCATGTGATGATGATGATGATGTTGTTCCTGGACACGTGATGGGAAAAACCTTTCTTGATGATGTGCCTCTACAAAATCTATCTGTGTGGTTCTGTTGTAATTGCACTCGCCATAACTAGAAATAATAATCACTAAAAGAGGAAAGATTTCTTGTTTGACCGATGTTTAATTATCCAAGCACCCTTGAGGCTTCGTTGTACCAATAATCCAGAACAATGGAGACTTGAGGCTTTGCATTTCAAGATCCATTGTCTAATTGTGGAGCATATAGTACAATAAACCCAGTAGATGAGAAAAGGTATCAAAATGATCAAAACTTTTCACTTTTGAGGGTCATTTAGACTGGAAATGAAACATGTTTCAATCTTATAGACTAATGTAGAGCTTTGTATCTGTTATGTGTCTCGTGTTTTTCATGTACTGTATGCATGTGTTGCTCAGTAATACTTGATATTAAAAGTTGAAAAAGTTCTAAAACAACACATCTTCAATATCTCATAAGGCGCTTTCACACAGCAGTACTTTTCCCACAAAGGTTCATCAGAACTTAGTTCATGAGAACTCTTTAGTTCTCATGAACTAAGTACTGGGACTGGGAACTGGGACTCCCAGCAGCTACTTTTTGGGAGTTTTACGGGGCGTGGTTTGCAATCCGCCCAGCCAATCAGAAATAGGAACCTTTTTCTCCCACGAAAGTCCCTGCTCTCTAGCATGGGGGTAAAAAGGTTCTCATGAACTCATTTTAGTTCCGGATTTTTTTGGTGTGAACGCGACATTTCGGAACTATATCAGAACTAAATTGGGAAAAGTACTGCGGTGTGAACGCGCCTATAGAAGTCAGTGTTTATGAGTTGAATTTGTATCTATGCAAAGTGTACTTCTGCAGGTCTCCCTTGAAAAAGAGATCATTGATCTCAATGGGATTTCACCTGGATAAATAAAGGTTTTTAATTGACTTCATGCTAAAAAAAATTGTTTTTCATTTTAGTTTCACTTATAAGTTCAGGCTCTGATATCAATTTCGGTTTAGTTTTCTCAGATATGGATTTCCTTCAGGTAAACAAACCTGACTGACAGATAGCAACCCCAATGTTTACTTTCTCTTTAATATTTAAAGTGCGTTTGAATGACAGATGAATGCTGGAATGTTTGACGAGAGTCCCATGTGACTGAAGTTCTCTTTAACAGGAACAAGCATCGGACCAAAGAGACAGAGCACTTTGCATTTTGTGAAAAGACACAGACAACGGAGAGGATGAACCATCATGTAAGTCATTTTAAATGAAATACATTCATATGTTTCAATTTTCTACTAACTTACTCAATTTCCTTCAGTTTAATGTGTAGTGACGTCTTGTTTTTTTATAGATGTCAATTTAATACTATAATATATAGTAATAATAAAAAGTAATGCCCTGAACAGCCGATTAAATCCTTTGAAAATATGATTAAATTACATTTTCTTAAAATATGAAACTGGCTGAAGTTACGTTTGTTTTATATATTATGTGATGTTAAGTTAAAATGTTATGTTTAAGATTGCATGATCATATTGTAAACGACTCTTTTGTTAATTTACTTATCTCCTTATGTTATTTCAATTTCTGCCACAGAAACGACCGCGTACTGCGCTGAAGACGTCTACTTTTAACCTCAAAAGACAAAAAGGCAATATTTACTGCTAGTTAGCACATAGCCACAGAATAATTGATAAATGTTAGCGTGTCTAAAGGAAACAAATGGATAATGAAATGTTCTGTATTTTATCTTTCAGTGATTCAAGGTGACAGAAAGAAGAACTTCTAAAGCGACAGTGAATATCCTATGTGACATAACCTTCATGTGTAAGTAGCCCCATTTAAACAGCTCAACACACACACACACACACACACACACACACACACACACACACACACACACACACACACACACACACACACACACACACACATTATCATTGATGTCACTTCTGTTTTCGCCTTTGGGTCGCTGTTGAATTGGGTTTTATTTAAAGGAGTCCAGATATGTAGTAAAACAATTTTTTTAAATGGTTTTCTGGTAGATGTTGTATCTTGATGAAATTGTAACTAATAAACCTCCTATATAATTACAGGTACTGTGAAGGATCTGAACGACAATCAACACAAAACACCCACTAAATATTGAAGTCTATCACCTGTAGGCCACATAAATCAGCTTTAAAAAGACACATCCAAGCAGATTGAATTGGTCGGAGTCATTCTAAAAAATGCCCGGACAGCTTCCACCCCAGTTGTCCGGTCTGCTAATCAAACTCTCTGAAACTGGGAGACTATTAGTTGAGGAGTATGAAGGTAAGAAAACAAGAATGCAAGCCATTGCAGATGAACTTGTATGGATATCTAACAATTTCAAAGTTGTGCAGGACACAACCAAGACAACCATACTACATGGGGCAGCTTTAGGAGGACTTGGAGTAGTAACCGTGGGCGTGGGGTTAGCTCTACCTTTTCTACCTGTTCCTGGAAAACTGGCATTATGCCTCGCAGGAAGCATAGTAACAGGCTGTGGGGGGTGGTTTGTTGGTACAGCAAATGCTACCAAGGCCATGACAGAGAAGAGCAGTAGGGATACGGTTAAAGATTTGGGGAAAGAATTCATGCAAATCATTGAGGTGCAAAAGGGTCTCCTGGTGGACATTAAGACGGTGTCTGAGGAGTTGGAGGAAAAGTCCTCCTCCTTAAGGACCACAACGGGGAACCAGGCAAAGATAGGACTGAAGAAAACGGAAGACCTTCAGCAGCTTCTGAGGCAAACGGCTACACTGTCAGAGAAAAGCAGGTAAGTCATGGACGGGACTCTCAACATGCTGAGGCAAGTGAAGAAACTGTTAGACTTCATTATCACTCTCACCAGAATCACTCTTACGGCTGAGGAGGACGCGAAGCTCAGAGACTTCATCACAGAGGCAGCTCTGCTGTGCAAGAACACCGTGCTGGAGTTTGCAGAGATGAGGAACACGCTCAGGGACTACGAGGAGATGCAGGCATAGTAGGAACGTGCTACAGGCAGATCACGCAGACTGTGTGGGGCCTTACCTCGCGGAGGGGGCCTCATCTTGGGGAGGGTGCTTCATTTTGCGGAGGGCGCCTCATCTGAAGTGCAAATACGGCGCACCTACACTGTAAGCGCGCCACAGCTTCGCCGCTGCGAGGCTCCACTAGCACCCCCCCGTCAACGCTCACGACACAGAGGGCCTCATCATATAACTTTGCATGGAGCCACAAATTGACCAGGGACGACCCTGAACGTGCACCTCCATCGTTGAAGTAAAACACAGTGCTGCACCACAACTGCAAGGAAAAGTCCTTCAATGAAATGACAATTAATCTCAATTTGCACTCAAATATAATACTACCATGATCATAAATACACTGTTAAAAGGTTTATATCCGAATGTAGGAATACAAATACTTGGAGTCAAATTGCATTTTTATATTTTTTGGATTGTTAAGGTTTTTTTATTTATATAAACCATTACATGTTCGTAACCACGACTGTGTTTACTGTATATGTCATCTGTGATTGTTTTTTGTGAGTGTAATAAGTACAAGTTGAAGTAATAATATGTTAAAATAAATATCTGAAATGTTCTTTCTGTCTAAAGCATCTGAAGACGTATTGCATTGCAGGCTGAGCACAGGCAGGAGAGATAGTTGACGCTGTATTCTACATATTTTACAGACAGGTTTGTACGTGGTGTTCAAAAAGTAAAGACCACACTCTCAACCAGAGCAAGGACAAACTCCAGGTCTGAAAAGTGAAGACAAAGTGGAAGTGCCTTTCTCTCTAGTAGTCCGGATGGAGGCGACACTTATACAGTGATATCGTATAGAAGTCTATGAAAGGACTTCTTTGACCTATTACCTTAGTAAACATTGTCCTAATGGGTTTATAGTTTAGATTACTGATCAATCATTTAAAGACTTCTTGAATACTGTTTTGAGTTCATTTTGTCAAGATTCAGAGATTTCATGTGAAGGAACCAAGTGTTAAAATCTCTGAAGAATGTTTTTACCACCAACCTTTTTCAATATACTGCTTTTTGGATATGAATGAACTGACCAATCCACTGATACATTATGCTTTGTTAGCTGTGATCAAGACTTAAACAGGGCGGCAACATTTTAGGATTATTGCCAAATACTTTCACTGCTTACTTAGTCATACCTGGAAATTACTGTCCTTTCATTTTCACTTCGGTAAACAATACATTCAATGACTAAGATAGCTAAGAATACATCACATGAATGCTAGCACAATAGAGCTAGTTGCTGCTAGCATTCCCACTTGCTGCCTTTCAGTAACAATTGCATTCTGCCTCCATAGCCCGATATATTTGAGCAGATGTAATGTAGATAAGAAATGGCAAAATGTAATAAATAATACACGCTGTCACTCTTATGTCTTGAGTTAAAAAGAGAGTATTGGCCCCATTCCAGTCGTTATGCTAAACTTACAAAGTGTACTTCATGCAAATGTTAGGTTTTTTTTCATTTTAGTTCACAATCTGATATTACTTTCAGTTTAGTTTTCTCAGATATGGATTTCCTTCAGGTAAACAAACCTGACTGACAGATAGCAACCCCAATGTTTACTTTCTCTTTAATATTTAAAGTGCGTTTGAAGGACGGATGAATGCTTGAATGTTTGACGAGAGTGCCATGTGACTGAAGTTCTCTTTAACAGGAACAAGCCTCGGACCAAAGAGACAGAGCACTTTGCATTTTGTGAAAAGACACAGACAACGGAGAGGATGAACCATCATGTAAGTCATTTTAAATGAAATACATTCATATGTTTCAATTTTCTACTAACTTACTCAATTTCCTTCAGTTTAATGTGTAGTGACGTCTTGTTTTTTTATAGATGTCAATTTAATACTATAATATATAGTAATAAAAGCAATAATATTAGTCCTCATTTCAAGAATAATTCATCATTCACATTATGCAGATGAGATTTTGTTTTTGTTTGTAGTAATAAAAAGTAATGCCCTGAACAGCCAATTAGATCCTTTGAAAATATGTTTAAATTACATTTTCTTTAAATATTAAACTGGCTTAAGTTAAGTTTGTTTCGGTATAGATTATGTAATTTTAAATGAACATTTTAGATCATATTAGATGAACAGGACTCAAATATTTATGTTAGACAATACTTTTTTGTTAATATACTTATCTCCTTGTGTTATTTAGACTGCAGATGTTGTCATCTAGTTGGCACATAACCACAGATTTATTGATTTATTAAATGTTAGCTTGTTTAAAGGAAATAAATGAAAAATAAAATGTTCTGTATTTTATCTTTCAGTGATTCAAGGTGACAGAAACAAGAACATCTTAAGCGACAGAGCGAATATTCTATGTGACATAACCTTCATGTGTAAGTAGCCCCATTTAAACAGCTCAACACACACACACACACACACACACACACACACACACACATACATACATACATACATACATACACACACACATATTATCATTAATGTCACTTCTGTTTTTGCCTTTGGGTTTCTGTTGAATTGGGTTCTATTTAAAGTAGTCCAGATATGTGGAAAATTATTTTTTAAATGGTTTTCTGGTAGATGGTGTATCTGGTGAAGTGTAACTAATAAACCTCCGATCAAATTACAGGTACTGTGAAGGATCTGAAAGACAATCAACACAAAACACACTGAAGTCTATCCAAGCAGATTGATCGGAGTCATTCTTAAAAATGCCCAAACAGCTTCCACCTCCGTTGTCCGGTCTGCTAATCAAACTCTCTGAAACTGGGATACTATTTATTGAGCAGTATGATAGAAAGAAACCAAGAATGCAAGCCATTGCAGATGAACTTGTAGGGATAGCTAACAATATAAAAGGCGTGCAGAACACAATGAACACATCCAGACTAGCTGGGGCAGCTTTAGGAGGACTTGGACTAACTGTGGGGTTAGCTGCAGCTTTTTTACCAGCTACTGGAAAACTGACATTATGCACCATAGGAGGCATAGCAGCAGTCTGTGGGGGGGGGACTGTTGTTGCAGCAAATGCTACCAAGGCAGCGACAGAGATCCTCAGTAGGGATAGGGTTAAAGATTTGGGGAAAGAATTCATGCAAATCATTGAGCTGCTAAAGGGTCTCCTGGTGGACATTAAGACGGTGTCCCAGGAGTTTGAGGAAAAGTCCTCCTCCTTAATGACAACAACGGGGAACCAGGCAAAGATAGGACTGAAGAAAACGGAAGAACTTCAGCAGCTTCTGAAGCAAACTGCTAAACTGTCAGAAAAAAGCAGGGAAGTCGTGGACGGGACTCTCAACATGCTGAGGCAAGTGAAGGAACTGTTAGACTTCATTATCACTCTCACCAGAATCACTCCTACGGCTGAGGAGGACGAGAAGCTCAGAGACTTAATCACAGAGGCAGCTCTGCAGTGCGAGAAAACCGTGCTGGAGTTTGCAAAGATGAGGAACTTGCTCAGGGACTACGAAGAGATGCAGGCATAGTAGGGACGTGCAACTCCATCGTTGAAGTAAAGCACAGTGTTGCATCACAACTGCAAGCAAAAGTCATTCAATGAAATCACAATTAATCTCTACTTGCAGTCAAATATAATATTCACATGATCATAAATACATTGTTATAAGGTTTATATCCAAATATATATATATATATATAAAACAATTGCAGGTTTCTGACCACGACTGTGTATACTGTATATGTCGTCTGTGATTGTTTTTTGTAGTACAAGTACAAGTTCAAGTTATAATATAATAAAATAAATATCTGAAATGTTCTTTCTGTCTAAGGCATCTGAAGACGTATCTGAGTATTTGTTTTCATGTCAAGGAACCAAGTGTTAAAATCATAGACAGGGCGGAAACATTTTAGGACTATAGCCAAATACTTTCACTGCTGAGTCATACCTTGAAATGACTGTGCTTTCATTTTCACTTCGGTATACAATACATCCATTTATTAAAAGTTCAGAAATGTAGCTAAAAATACATCACATTAAGGCTAGCACCGTCGAGCTAGTTGCTGCTAGCATTCCCACTTGCTGCCTTTCAGTAACAAGTGCATTCTGCCTCCATAGCCCGATATATTTGAGCAGATGTAATAAGTAATGGCAAAATTGAATAAATAATACACGTTGTCACTCTTATGTCTTGAGTTAAGACCAGAGTATTGGCACCATTCCCATCTCAGTGTACCTTCTCTATGATTGCATGTTTCCAGTTGTTATTCTAAACTACATATACAGGTCAAATACACTATTTCCTTGCAATGCAGACTTTCCTCCAGTCCTCTAACAGCTCCGGTAACCTCGACACCAGCTCTCAGAGCCCGGCTGACCCTGCTTGTTTGTGGTCAGAGCCGATAGAGATGCATTTCTAAAAGCTCACGCTGCTTCGGGCTGACTTTCGACACCCTCGTCATGTGTTTCCACTTTTGCTGCGATTGTATTCCTCTTCATTATTCATTCAAACAGCGCAGCAGCAGCAGTGGCCAGCACTTGTAGCAAATGCTTTCCATGTGTTTCTAATTGCCTCAGTCGAGGTGTTTTTAACACAAGGTGAAGTCATTAACACATGGGCACACTCTTCAGATGTAGAGCCAGGCGGCCGCGGGTGAGAGGGTCGACAACAGCTAATGCACCGATACAGAAACACATGCAACGTGCCGTGCAGAAACTCTAAGGAAATACTGCAGATGACTCAAATTAGATGTAGAACATGTAGAGAAGACTGGACTAAAAGATCTGGAAGACAAATATCCATCTATGCCATGAAGAGAAAAGGCATCCTGATAAATAACATGTGTCTTCAGAGGGAAATCAAAGATGTGTCAAGGAAATATTTGACACTTTTATGCAATTCTTGGAAAGTTTGCAAGCACTTTTAATACAAATGTGCTATGTATTAATATTACATTTAATTTATGATGTAAAATGTGTTTTTCCCTCACTATTTAAGGGTCGGAGGAGAGCATCTTCACAAATTGCATTGTATGTATGACGGCTCTTTCTAGATCTTCAAAAACAAAACAAATAATTTTACAATACATAAAAAAATATATTAATCCACATTCAGGATTCTTAATTTCCTTTAAATGATGTACTTGAGACATCACATAGCCTCACTTTGAAATAAAACGATTGGCTTCTGCTATTTAGCGTAAACGTATTTATGAGTTAATCCAAACTCTGCTGTGCAGAAACTCTTAGGGAAAATACTGCAAATGACTCAAATGAGATATAGAAAATGTAGAGAAGACTGGACTAAAACATCTGGAGGACAAATTTCCATCAATGCCACAAATACAAAAAATAAATCGTGATAATTAACATGTGTCTTCAGAGGGAAATCAAAGATGTGTCAAAGAAATATTGGACACTTTTATGCACTTCTTGGAAAGTTAGCAAGCACCTTTAAAAATGTTTACTATATCTCTTAATAGTACATTCAATTTATCATGAATTCAGAATGTGTTTTTCCCAGTATTTTAAGGGTCGGAGGACGGCATCTTTACAAATGGCATTGTATGTATGGCGGTATATGTTATTTTTCATATGTCATATTATAATCCACATTCAGGATGTTCAATTTACTTTGATGCTATATACTTTAGTATAGACATCATATAGCATCATTAAAGAAAAATGCAATACAAGCAACATGTATTTATGAGTTCATCCAAACTCTGCTCAGGATATCATATCATAAGGTTTGCTTATGGACACAATTATAAGGTTCATTTAAAGTTATGAGAGGCTTACACTTAAATATTACATGGCATTTAAAACCACTTAACTAAATATGATCATAGTTATTTATTAATCATCAGGTACTGAGTGTAGATGGATCCAGCTCAGATTGTTTTCACCAAACATAATCCAACAGCTCCATCTAGTGTTCAGTGGAGAGTACTGCATGCATACAGGAGCAACCTGAGGAAGAGATGAAAGCAGAAGACATCCATCCATTAGTGTTGAGTCTCATAAAGCACTGACACAGTTCTGCTTATACAGTAACATAAGGGGAAATGTTCATATCTAATGTTTTCAGAGAAGACATATTGATATTTCACAGTAAAATCACAAATAAAGTTATTGATTATTGATGGCTGTCCTCCCTAAAGGCAAGTCAAATTGTATTACAAAACATACCAAACATTAACAGAAACTAGTACACACACAATGCCTTCAATAAGAACAATAGCAGATATTTAGAATAAAATGTAATAAAAAGATTTTAAATTAAGTTCAAGTTACAATGTGCAATAAATACAATCAAATAAAAATGTTTCTATAAACATCTTTAATACATTAAAATATAATAAAATGTAACCTAGATAAATAATTAAAAATACATCTGTATATAAATAAAAAATTATAAAATACTCAGCCACTGCTGGTGAAGCCCTGGATCTACGTCAGAGGGCTTCCCTTTAAGTCTATCTGCATCAGCACATGGGCAGGGTAAACATTTGAGGACACCCCACACCCCACACCCCACACACACACACACACACACACACACACACACACACTGCCTCATATACGTTCACATGTCGCACGTCATACAAAAAACACACAGACGGCACACGTGTAAAATCCCATACATCACAGGCAGAAGAAGAAGGGATATCTTTACTGTCATCATAATGGGTTCAACAACATTTTGTAGGCTTCTCTCAATGCAGTAAAATAAATAAAAGCAGTAGTAAAAGTGGTAGTGAAGCTAAGAGAAGGCCCTAGTTTGCTCATACATACAAATAGTACAAAACTACACAAAGCCAAAATGTAGTTTTATTTTATAATAAAACATTCAAATGTGCTACAGCTTGAATGTCTTCCTTAGCATCTCATTTCCTTAGTTTGTTGCACCCCCACACACACACTGTTTCCCCTCCTGTTACAGTCCATATCCTCTTGTTTGTCATTCGCATTTAATCACATATATCGGTAGTTATTTTCCCACTGATAACAAAGTTGAAAGGTTAATATTTTAACATAAAAAGACAGATACAATGCAGATAACATCACATATAAGTACTTATTTGTTCCCATGATAACAAAGGCAAAGTGTTGACATAAAAAAGGACTTGAAACAAATGAAAAACAGATACAAATACAGTTTTTAAAGCAAATCCAATCATCATCTGCTGCTGCTGGTATCTTGCTGTTTGCAGAGTGTATGTCCTGTGCTCATCTGACATTGAGGCTGCTCAGTGATCTCAGAAAAAGGGAACAATTCACAAAACGTTGAGTAATGGCCCCTAAATGAGGGGATCATCATTCCTGTGTAATTTGATCAACAATAGTGTTAGTGTTGTTGATCAGTGTGATCATCTTGGGAATCTGATCCCTTTTGTTCCAGCTGATTGATTGGAGATCATCTTTAACGGAGGAATAAACACTGATCTGCGTGTTAACTCTGAGTCACTTGACAAACAGTAATGGAGGGGGTGGGGGGGGGGGGTAAGTGGTAGTTTTGTGGTAAATGTGCGCATTAACAAGCAGAGTAACGCGCTGCATCTGCGTCACAGCTCTGCTCTTCGTTTGCTCTCTCGCGACTGGCCTCGTGCTGATAACAGGCAGAACCACATGATGACAAAACATCAACACGGGACAACTTTATTTGGTCTGGCCCCGTTTTATGAAACACTGTAATGCAGCAGTGACAAAACACCGGTTTCTCTATATTAAAGTCCTTCATATTTCATATTAGGAAGATATATTTAAACGTGTATAATTACCGATATTACATATTTATCTAACCTTTCTTGCTTGTTTTGTACATTATGTAATCTCTAATTCTTATTCCTCGTTCTTTTTGTGGTTTATAGCTACTTTTAAATATAAGCAGATTTAGTGTTTTTGCAACTAAATGTGCTCAATAAATAACGCTGATTTACCCAAAAGTGCATCGATGTTAAACATACATTTATTATGTTGTGTGCCAAACTGTCACATATTTGTATCCTGTATATTACAATTGATAAACAGATAAAGGTTTTTTATTAATTATTATAAGTTGGGTGAAATAAGACAAATGGCTTTTTCTTTACCCTAGAAATACAAATAAAGAGGAATTAGTCATTTATGTATTGTTTATTTATCTGTATGGGCTGACTCTCGGGTGATTTTCACCTTTCCTTTGTCTTGTCCTCGCTCCATCATCAATCACCAATCATGTCCCGGTGTTAAAGCTGAATACAGGGGGGGGTGGGGGGGTCATCAAAGGCATCGGGGTGGCCGTTATCACCCGGAGTCCCGCAAACCTCACTTCACTTTCTCTGACAATGACAGCAGGAGCTCTGCACCTCTGGGTGCTCCTCGCGCTCCGGATGAGGTGCGTCACCCTCCTCGCGCTCCCTCTGGACAGGGAGACGGCACCGGGGAGGGAGCACGGGGTAGATACTACGGAAACGGTGAGCAAAAAGCTGGATGGGTTGTTACATTTGAAGGATTTACCGCGAGGACCGGCCTTGGCTCCGAACAAAAAGGCGCCTCAGTTCATGTTGGATCTTTTTAACGCGGTGACGGTTTCCGAAGGGAGACCCAAGAGCCAGAAGGAGATTCTGGAAGGAAATATAGTGCGGAGTTTTGAAGATAAAGGTGAGTCAAACTGACATACGTGCCTGGTTCTTCCGTGTATTTGAAAAACAAGTTAAGTCGTGTAACAACAGCATAAACGGTGCGTAATTGTGACCCATATGTGCTTTTACGCACGTTTACGCATGACAAATGTCGAATTTAAACAGCTAAAATTAAGGACTTTGCTACATTTCTTATCAGAACAGTATTTAAGCTGTGTTTGCTATTTTTTCCTGCAGGTAATTCTGGAGAGAGGTTTCACTTCTTCAATCTGTCCTCTGTGGGCAGAGAGGAGAGAATGATCAAAGCAGAGTTTCGTTGGTTCAGAAAGAAACAGAAGTTTTACCTCGGAAAGTCATTTGGGCCTCATTTCTACAAGGTAAAAGTTGTTTTGCTGACATTATTTCATCTGTTTTAATGTAGATATTTCATTTCATGAGTATGGAAACATCACCAGAGAGTCATGTGACATATATATTTAGTGAGCAATATTTTAGTGAGTAATCATAACTATGACCAAAAAGAACCATCATCTTGCTTCATAGTCTGCAGGTTTTTGTAGATACAGTGACTGGCTTTTTAAGGTGACAATTTAGTGAACTACTGTAACAGCTCCATGTTGTGACTCTCAGGTGGATCTGTACGAGGTTCTGGACAGCCGAGTGAAGCCATGGAGAGGAAACCTCATCACCTCCAGACTGGTGCCTCTGCACACGCAGGGATGGGAAGTCTTCAATGTCACTCAAACGGTAAAAAACCCTTTCTTGTTCAAGACGAGACCATGCTGGCAAAACAAATGTTGTAATGCACTTATCATGTCTGAGAGTTCTTTTGTTTCCATAACATGACTTCTGTCAGACAAGTGTAAAGAAAGCATCCAATAGAAACATTAAAGGGTTTTTTTCAATATCATGTTGTATATTTGACTGCAAATTTCTCCTTAATTCACCAAAATATTCTCATTTGCATCTTTATATGTAAAATACAGAAAACTTGTAATATCTAAAAAAATATCTTAATGTAAGTAATCAAAGTGGGAAGTTTTATGATGATATGTATCAGTTTTAAAAAATATATTTTATAATACATATCACTGGGTAAGGTACGTTTCCCCAAAACAAATGTTCACGTACTCTGAGCCCGAGTAGTTATTCTTTAAATGTATTTATTTATCTATCTAGAGAGTTATACAAAGATATATCTCCCAGTGATTTCCTTGAATGTATGCATAGATGAATTAAGATCAATGTGAAAGCATTGACATGTACACTAAATAATAAAATATAATACAACGTTTATGAAGTATTTTTGTGTGTAACCCGTCCATTGTGCTCTGAATGTCAGGTGTCAAAATGGATCCGCAACAGCCAGGAGAATAACGGCATCCTGGTGGTGACCACGCTGCCCTCTGGGAGCTGGATGCAGTCAGCGAGGTCTCCGTCATCCAAGAGAAGCGGAGAGCTGACGGACACCAACGCCTACCTCGTCCTCTTCTCCGACGACGGGAGGACAGGAGCGTCAAACCAGTCGTTCCTGGGTAAGAAAGAGTGTGTGTGAGACAAGCTGATATTTAATAAGCAGTTCAGCATAGTCATAACATATGGAACTCAAAAATGATCATTATTAAATGATTACAAAATCTAAGATAAGAAGTACTTGTAAATGTTTGTATATATACAAATATTAAAAACATTTTTTTAAATATAATAATTTTGGGGGGTCCAAAAAGACAAGACAGTCAAACATTCAAATTAGTTTTGTGACAGTTGCTCTGATTTCAAATGAAATACAAATAGAAAAAATGCAATAAAATGGCTCATCTATGAATATCTAAAATGCCAAAAATGTAATACTTTATATAAATATTGCTCTTCTAACCCGATATGCCCCCTCCTCTCTCTACAGGTCAGCCTCACCCTGCGGCCCCTGAGTTAAACGATCATCACAGCAGGAGGCGGAGAGCGTCTCCAGGTAAAAATATACGATAAGAAGTACTTTATTGATCCCAATTTGGGAAATGTGTGTATGTACAGTATACAAATATAAAAAAATATATTTTAATTATAATAATTAAAGACAGTCAAACATTCAAATTAGTTATGTGACAGTTGCTCTGTTTTAAAATCAAATACAAATTGAAAAAAACAAAAAAAACAGCTCATCTATGAATATCTAAAATGCCAAAAATGTAATATTTTATATCAGGGGTGTCTAACCCATATAACCCCTCCTCTCTCTACAGGTCAGCCTCACCCTGCGGCTCCTGAGCTCCAGGACCCTCACAACAGGAGGCGGCGAGCGTCTCCAGGTTTCCCCCCCCACTCCCGCTCTCAGTCCTGCCAGCGAGTTCCTCTCTTCGTTGACTTCGAGGAGATCGGCTGGTCCGGCTGGATCATCTCTCCCCGCGGATACAACGCCTACCACTGCAAAGGATCCTGCCCCTTCCCTCTGGGGGGCAGCCTCAAAGCCACCAACCACGCCACGGTGCGCTCCATCATGCACGCCCTCAAACTGTCCAGCGACGAGGTGGAGGCCCCCTGCTGTGTGCCCGACAAACTGCAGTCCATCAGCCTGTTGTACTTCGACGACGACGAGAACGTGGTTTTGAAGCAGTACGACGACATGGTGGCGTTAAGCTGCGGCTGTCACTGACACACTGACTCCTTCACACTGAGACAATGAGACCACGCTTTGAGTAAAACACTGTATTTTTTCGTGCATATGTGTAGATATTGTATAACGTTGAGAAATAAAACGATTATTCCTCAGATTTTAATCGGCGATCCAGTTTAGTTTAGTCCTGGGATTCCAAAACCGTCTCCTGGAGTATTACCAAATAGATTTGGAATGAAAAACTATCCATACTTGAGATGATCTTTTGCTCTTAGTAATTATATATTGAAGGTACTAACTAACATCATTTACTCGGGTTCCCATGCACCTTAAAGTCTCTAATGTGCACCGGACTTTGATTTGTTGATCGCTTAGCCTATATGTTAAGGTGTTTATAAATCACCTAATCTCATAATCTTCTCTAGGACTAATCTTTTTAGTTGTCTCGGATGTCATTACTTGGATTTGGTTACATCTGAGCAATAGTTGTTGTTGTTTAGACGTCCTTAACCTAAACAAGGGTATGGATCGGTTAATTGCATTTGATCACGTTGTCAAGTTGTGACGCTGCAAGCCAAAAAGATGTCGTAAGGCAACATTTAAATAGCATGAAATGAACAGAAATGTAAATAGTCCGAATGAATACCCAATGCACAGGCGAGCGAAAAATGTTGAAACATAGGTTAGAAACATTAATTAGTGTTCAGATGTTCTAACATTTACAATAAAAAACAGAGCTGGAAGAGTAGCTGGAGTGTGGATAAGAATCTGGCTTTTTTTTAAAGGTCCCATGTCATGCTTTTCTGGTTATTCCCCGTCCCCTTGTGTGTTATGAAGGTTTTTCTGCATGTAAACGGTCTGCAGTCACAAACCCTCAAAGTACACCCTGTAGCGAGTAAAACTCTAACACAGAAAAGACCTGTCTATGCTGCCCCAGAACGCCTCGTTGGACATTTCTCTTTTTCTTCCTGGGTACAGTGACGTGACCATACCCAAATGGACCCATTGGCACGCTTACACTGTAGGGGCGCCGCGTTTGGGGGTGCGGGTGCGGGTGCTAGTGGAGCCTCGCAGATGGGGGTGCTGCAGCCCCCTCAGCACCCCCCCCTTCCCGCGTCCATTCGCAATGTCTCGCTGTCTCGCAGACCCCACGCAGCAAGCAGGAAATGAACCCAGCTCACACTGTCCGCTCCTCGCTGCAGCGAGGCGCGCAACGTCCCGCCAACACGGCCCCCAGACCCCACGCAGCATTCTCATCTGTTTGTCATTACTGGTGTCATTTTCTGGTTGCTAACGCCATTGTAACACATAAACACTGATGTTCCGCTGTAACGGTGGTGGACTCATCAGAACAGAGTGGGCGAGCTGACCAATCAGAGCACAGTGGGCTCATAGGGAGGGGGGAGGGGGGGGGCAGGAGCTCCAACAAGCCGTTTAGGACAGAGAGTGAATACACATACTATACAGAGATGCTGTATGAGAAACCAATGTGAGTTTGGAACATTGAACAATATAAATCTATTCTAGTAGACCTCAACAATGGAATTTTGATCAGTAGAAATGGCCATGACATGGGACCGTTAACCTTTTTTTCTCTAAAATTGTATTTGTGTTGGTATTTGGACAGGCCCATATTCACTTTCTTATCTATTTACTGCAGTTACTGACCAGCAGATGGCGAAATAGAGGTCTGGTTGTAGATCTCAAATCACTCCATTCCTGTACATTTACAGAATCTGGATCAGATTATATTTAGAAAAACAATCTGAAAATACACAACAGATAAGGCAAGGGAAATTATAGAACCACATTAAACCTGTTCCACATTGTCCACTCAATGAATTTGCATTATCTTATTAATTAAAAATGAAAATACCCAATGGTTTGCAAACATTTGGGTTCAATAGCCCGCCAAGATAATTATAAAATAATAATGACCTCTACTTTAAAGGTGGGGGAGGTAAGTTTGAGAAACCGGCTCGAGATACACTTTTTGTTATATTCCATGGAATGCTCTTAACATCCCGATAGCAATGAATATCTGAAGTGCTTTGACAAAAAATCCATAAAAAAATGTCATCTGTGGAAGCCGTGGCGCTGTGAAAAGCACGACCAATCATCTGAGCCGGCCCGGCTAAAGTAACTGGATGGCCTACCTGCCTGTCAGCCTTCCATCTGTGCACAAACTTATCTCGTGCCCTCATTGGTCATGTGCGCGTTCGTGTGTGTTGGAGGAGGGGCTGTGTAAGGAAGTGGCAGATTTTCTCCGGTTGTGTATTTTCAAATTCTAGCGATCTCGAGCTGGTTTCTCCAAAATGACCTACCCCACCTTTAATTTGACTCTAATTAAAACACCAATAACACCAACTTCAATCAATTATATTTAAAATATGTTAGATGAAGAATAACAGTGAAATGAAAGACAACATAAGAATAAAACTCTGTAACAACAGTTGTTTTTTATTGGAATGGATCACAGACACAATACAGCCCTGCTTTATTCTAGGTTAGAAAAATGCCAATGCAACAAACGTGCAAATCCAAATTCTCCGTCATGTCTTCTGCATATTAAAAATTGCACAAATGCCAGTTCAAGCTTTTAGGCAATATAAACAAAAAAAATAGTTTTGTATCAAACACAACTGTAACTGCAATTTCAACTTTAGCATGCAAAATGATTTGAGTGTTTAGTCGTGTTGACATGATCAGTTCAATTCATTTGTTGAGCCAGTTCTGTTTGTTTCAAGTATCTCTAATGATAACTTAAGTGACTGCAAACTGTGGTGAAAAAGGAAATCTCAAGGCAGGTAATAAAACAAAATACCTGAAAAGAGGTGGAGACCCCAAAAAACACTGTAGCAATTAAAATAAATATTCCACATTTACATAAAAGCTTTCCATCTCTGTTTACACTTTAATACATTATGCACCCATGTCCCGTATGTTTGTCAAAAATTGTACATTATCCTTAAACTTGCATTCAAACAACAGCATACGACAACAACTATCAATAATTTACAATTCTGTCAGTTCACAATCAAGTCAAAATCCTCACAAACCAACCGGGGCCTGCACAGCTTCTTTGTCTCGTGTAATTCAAGGCAAGAAAAGAAATGCAAGGATCAGAAACTTAACCTAAAGGAGAGAATCCACCCTTTAACTGTTCAAAAATGATTGGCAAAAGAGCATAAGCGGAGGGTGGATTTCTCCTTTCATATCTCATGGCCTATCAGCTTGGACAGTCAAGCTCCTCTGTGCCTAGAAACTCTCCTAACATGTGGTCGGGTTGACCATAAACAGGCTCTAAATATTGATGTCCCTCATTACAGTGCATTTGCCTCATCCTTGGCTCCATGTGAGAGGCTTGGATGGTAGATGCATGAGTCATTGGAGACAGTGGCACCGGTACGAAGCTGTGGTAAACGACCATAGGCTGGGTCAAAACCTCCAAGGTGGATGCCTGAGGAACAGCGCCCTCTGGTGGCTGGACTGGAAGCTGCACATAGCTTCCTGTTTCTGGATCAAAGAAGGTTTTTGTCTTGACTTGTACGGGCATGTCTACAAAGAAGTACTGCCCGGTGTCAGGGTCCTGGAGGATCTTACGTTGGGTCATTGGAAAGGATTGTGTAACAATGGCGTGCTCGATGCTAGACTGGCGAGAAAGCTGGCTGGTGTGGCTGCTGTAGCTCGATTGACGCGAGAGATTTGCGGGATTAGGGTTAGGGTTAGGGTTAGGGTTGGGGTTAGGGTTGGGGTTAGGGTTGGGGTTGGGGTTGGGGTTGGGGTTGGGGTTGGGGTTGGGGTTGGGGTTGGGGTTGGGGTTGGGGTTGGGGTTGGGGTTGGGGTTGGGGTTGGGGTTGGGGTTGGAGTTGGAGTACACATCAATACTGTGACTCCTCCTGGTTGGGTTATCTCTGCTCGGCTTTTCTTTGGCTCTGCCTCTCTGCTGAAGCTCGTCCATGATGGATTTTTCGATGCGTTGGGTCCTCGTATCAAGCTTCTCGTTCATAGACGTATCGTTGCTAAGCCTGCGCTCCACTTTTCCCCCTAAGTACCTGTCAATGCTTTGTGATCGGTTGAATGGCCTGTCCGTCGTGGGTCTATCGCTTTGCTGAGTTTTGTACACAGGTACGTTACTGATGACCCTATCACTACTGTAGTGTCTTTGCTCCGGTTTATCTCGAATGTGCTTATTGCTGCTGCGACCTGGCCTTTCTGCTTCCACATTGGGAAGTGCTTCATTGTTCTGGCTACTGCTTTCCACAGCATCATGGCTCTGTCTCCGAGTCTTTTGGCGCACGTCTGTTTGATTTTGATGGCGGTTTTCACTTCTGTCGCCTCTTCTATCACGGGGTGGTTGCTCACTCTGATCTTGACTGTGTTTGCCGTGGTTACTTTCATTGTGACGATGACCATCTTCAGTCTTTTCTCCGTGGTTTCTCTCACTGCTCTTGCTACTTCTACTGCTTTTGTGCTCAGACTTGTCGCTCTTGTGTCTCTCCGCTCTGTGTTTGCTGCTGCTTTGAGACGGCTTGTGGGAGGTCTTCTGTGCCGCCTCCTCCTTCTTAATTCTTCTAGTTGTGATCTTAATGGCTTTGAGAACAGCCTTTTCCGATTTGGGTAAGACAACTGGTGGTTTAGGAAACCCTGTTTGGCTTTCACTTCCACTGCAGGTGGACCCAGACCGCTCGCTGGGAAGCTTCAACACCACAGCGCTCATTCCCATCTCATCAGCGGTGTCTGCTGCGCTGGTTGAGAAGCTCTCCACGCCTTCAGATAACGGACTTACCCCAGACAATCTGTCCTCCTCCGGTGGGACAGTGAGGAACCCTCCAACCTGTGGTGTCTGTGGGCTTTCGCTTTGTAGATCTGACGGAGAAAGCGGCATGGGAGATGAAATCTGTAATTGAATTTCTTCAGGTTTGAAGATTTCATCTGGTATTGGTGTGCAGCCCCTGGTGTCAGGTTCCTTAGCCAGAAGAAGGTCTAGATTTTCATTTACTTGATGTACCTCCTCTCCCTTCTCTGAACCACTCAGACTCCCTCTTGGTGACCATGGTTGAACTGTCTTTGACCTCATCTTATTGGTGAAAGTGTTGTCTTTGACCTTAAATAGGGCAGGGATCCCCAACGTCGGTGAGATAA